GCACCCGTCCGCGACAGGTATCCGGCGTCAGCTGTTTGACTCGCCTCTTGCCGCCGTCCTCCGCGCAAAGTAAATTATCCGCCGGCCTTTATTCCATCAGGTACACAATTGAATCTTGTTTAGCGCAATCTCGCTTTTTGAAGTCGCTTTCGGCCCCGTCCATCTTTATCTACCCACTTCGCTTTTATTAAATCCCTCTCGACTCGGGGAGGGGGGAGACCGCTTTTGCCCTCGTTTGACGTACACTCATGCACGCATGCACACACAGGTACACACAGGATGTGTATCGCGACGCGACCACCGACCACCACGTTTATCGTCTCGTTGAATCGTTTCTCCTGTATTTCGGACGATTTACCGTGATTAACGTGTTGACGACCGTGCGTTGTTATCGGCGAGACCGCGTCGTTCCTCGCGGATAATACTCAACTTGGCTCAGTCTATGGCTAACTTATGGCTTAATTAAATACCTCGGTAATTAAGCTTCTTCGAGGTTTCTTTCTCCCTTCGAATTTTTTTTTCTCTCGAGGGCGGGTGATCGAGCGGATTAATAAATAGAGATATCTCGAAAAAATATCCTGAGAAGAAAGAGACGAAAATATCCATTAAAAGACCATCTTTAGAAAAAGAAAGAAAAGGATGCAAACACTGCTATCTCGTGCGAGTTCCGTAAAGATAATTATTTACGAAATTTTAGGAGACCCTCCTCCCCGCATTTCCAGCTTTCTCGATGCAGGAAGATGAAATTCGATTTACTTCGGGCGAGGCCGAGTTGCGGAAAATACGCGTGGAAGGGGCGTACGTATGAATCCGTAGAGTGGTCAGCCCCGTGGCGCATCCTCCTCTGTGCCACCGTGTATTAATTTTCAGGCGGCTGCACGCGGCCAGTCGAGGGCAGGGCGAAGTCGCTTGAGCGGAGCGCGGATGTTAGTTTAACAGGGATATTTCAGCCGGACGTGCACCGTACCAAGCCACTTCCGGCCACGGCCGACGTTCCAACGCCGGAATACACGCCGTATTTTCGTCTCTGCGCCCCGCGTATACTCGATTAACGTTCAACGAACAAAGCTTGGAGCGGACCGTTAATCGTCCAGGTTAATAACGTCGTGCCACCGCACGCCTCGATTACCTCCCAATCCCCTCTCCCCATGACGATGACGAGGGATCCCAAGGCAAACTTTGTCGCGTTAACAATGGACGATCGCGTTTTCCTTTTTTTTCAGGGACGATTTTTGAGTGGAAATGCACGGTATTCGCGTTTAATTTCGTCTCATTCTTCGACGTATTTACCTCGAAAGGAAACGAGAGAGAGAGAGAGAGAGAGTTCGTTTCGCTTGATAAAAAAATCGCGACGCTTGGAATTTTAAACGATATCGCGACGATATGTTTCGAAGGAATTCGAACGTCGTTTATTTCTCATTCTCCCGTGCACCGTTTATTCGAATTATTCGAAAAAGAGAGACAGAGAACGTGAGCCACTCGAATCCCGTTTTAACATTCTTCTTCTTCTTTTTTTAATACGTATAGATAAGACTCTTCCGTTTACGCGAGTTTAAAAGTGTACTTAAGTAGTCGATGCACTTAAATGTTCCGTACGCGTTCGCTTTTCGCGAAGCATTCAATTTGCCGTGATTTTATTTCACCTTGAGAATCTCTCCCTTCCTCGTGCACTACGTGTATTCCAGGCGGAAGATCACGAGAGAGAAGCGTAATTAATCTCGAGACTAATTTCGCTTCTTCCCAATTACTTTCGATCCAAGCAAAAAT